GAGACATTAGGTAACTTCTCCTAGGTCTCAGAGCACCTCAGTGACTGTGCAGAGATTTTCCACCCAGCTGTGCCAAGCTCCAAAGTCTCTGCTCTGTCCTGTTCAGGATGGGAATTCAGCCTATGCCCTTGCCTCCCTGCCAGCTCTGACTCGGGGAGCTTTCCTCGTGGATTTGCCCTCCCCACACCCCACCAATGCCATGCCCACGTGGTTATCTAAGCAGTAGGGCTGGCCGCAGAATGGGGATTGTGTTCTCCAGAGGGGAGGGCCTCTTTCCCTCCTTTAGTTTAACTAGTGACAGCCTGCTGGGGATATCAACTCTTTTAAGAGAAACTTCCCCCAATCTTGAAGGTTGCTATCTGTCAGCTCTGTTCTAGAACATTCTATATTTTATCTGTGTTTCCTCTGTTAAAAATGACTCCCTTATCCCTCTCCTGGGGAACGGATAAACAAGCTGTTGTACGTCCAGACAGTGGAATAGTGCTCAGCAGTGAAAAGTCTATACAGAAGGAAAAAGAAAAAAAGGATGGAAGTTTTGAAAATAATTTGCCAAGAATGGGAATACACCATCTAGGAGGGTCTGTTTTCTTCTTGTATAAAATGTGTTTGTCTTAGACACATTTTAAATAAATAAGTAAATCCCTGCTTGTCATGGAAAGTTTCCTTCCATCTGGGAATGTGCTTTGACTTTCTAAAATAAATTCTTTCTGGGGTGCCTGGGTGGCTCAGTCGGTTGAGCGTCCGTCTTCGGCTCAGGTCATGATCTCATGGTTCATGGGTTCGAAAACCAGATCGGGCTCTGTGCTGACAGCTCGGAGCCTGGAACCTGCTTTGGATTCTGTGTCTCTCTCTGCCTCTCCCCCACTCATGCTCTGATACTCTATCAAAAAAAAAATTAAAAAAATTAAAATCAATTCTTTTTAGATATTAAAGTAAAAAACATAACAACACGCTGTGGTATGACTGTGTTGCTCCATTTACACGACATTCTGGAAAGGCAAAGCTGTTGGGGCAGGGACCAGAGCAGCAGTAATGGGGCCGGGAACAGATGTTGGGTCCCCGGGGCGTGCAAGCATTTTGGGAGGGACGAAGGGGTCTGTTCTTAATCTTGATTGTGGTGGTGGTCACACGCCCATCTACATTTGCCCAAACTCATAACACAGAGTAGCAAAAAAAAAAAAAAAAAAAAAAAAAAAAAAAAGGAAAAGGAAAGAAAGAAAAAAATTAGGCCACAAGGAGGGTAAAGAAAAAGTTCTTGGTTCTGGAGGGTTGTGGGAACTGTTTCTTGGGTGTTTGCCCCCGGCCCCGGGGCCTGGTCTGCCGGCCTTTTTCTCTGTCCGCCTTTCTCCCCATTCAGTGGCTGCAGCGCGGGGCAGAGACAAGGAGGGTTTTGTGGAACCCAGAAACAAATAAGGGATTGCCCATCATGGGTCACCGCGGCAACGCAATGTCGCTCTTGGACCCATGAGGCTGGCACTGTGGGCGGCTTATTGGTGTTTGTTAAAGTCGGCGACAGGTGGACGGGAACTTCCTCAGCCCCAGACCTGGTTTCCCACCTTGGAGAAAGGCGTCAGCTGTGTCCCTGCCCAGTTGACCTCTGCCCGCCCCCTCGCCCAGTTGGCACAGCGCCGTGGGGGGCTTTGGGGCAGAATCTATCAAAATTAACACCGTGCATCCCTGTGTTCGTGTCTCTAGAGCTGTAGTAAATGACCATGCGCTTTGTGGCCTCAAACATATAGAAATCTGGTCTCCCAGCTCTGGAAGCCAGAAGTCCAAAATCGGGGTGTCAGGAGGGTGGATTCCTTCTGGAGGCTCTGAAGGAGGAGCCTCTGTGTCTGGCTCCCAGCTCCTGGTAGCTTCAGCAACCCTCACTATCCCTTGGCATGTGGACACGTCACTGCAGTCTCTGCCATCACCGTCACGTGGGCTTCCACTCTGTGTCACCCGTCCTCCCACGGGGACCCTAGTTGTAACAGACCAGGGGATCGCCCTCCTCCAGGGGAACCTCATCTTAACTGATAATATCTGCAATGGCTCTGTTGCCAAATGCGGTCACTTTCTGGGGTGCTGGGGGTTAGAATCATCAACGTAGGAATTTGGGGGAGACACAGTCCAGCCCGTAACACTGCTTTGGTTGTCCTATTAAGTATCCCTTCTTAACCCACTCTTGGCCACTGACAGCTTCTTCCTGGAGAAGGTGAGCTGATGGGCTGGTTGTTTTGGCCTCCCGGGGAGGCTGTGCTTTTTTGGGGGGGTCCCCAGCTGCAGGGGTGACTCCACCCCTTTCTCTGTGACCCTGAGCCCAGAGACTCAGCTCCGGGGTCGAGTCTGCCCCTGCATGGGTGTCAGACTCTGTGGGGGTTGGCGCCCTGGAGCACCGAGCTCTGCTCAGATGCCTGGCCCTGGGGCTTGCTGTGTAAGGTCTTGGTTTTCTCATCTGTGTAATGGGCTCAGCAGGACGCTGGCCTTGTCACAGGTGGAGTGACTGCCAGCTGATGCAGGTGGAGAACAGCTGTCAGGGCAGGTGGGTGGGGGGAGCAGCCGTGGACCCCGAGACTTGTCCAGGTGCCGAGGGGCCAGCACAGGAAAACCAGACGCAGTGTGTGTCAGGCAGCGTATGGCAATGTCAGCCCCTGGGAGACACCCCAGCCTTTCCAGCCTCCACACCCGCCCTGCACACTCCCGTCTGCCGGTCCCCGGGCCAGGAGCACCCTTTCCTCTCCGCCTGGTGAACTCCTCCGTCATCCCTCAACATCTGTTTGCGGTGTGCGCTGCGGAGGCAGGTGCCTCAGGCGTCGTGCTGAGCCTGTGCCCTGGCAGCCCTCTCCCCTCTCCGCAGCCTTCACCCTGTGCTGTGCTCCTCCTCTAATCCCAGCCAGCACGTAGTAGGTGTTCTCCAGTGTTTCCCGAAAGGACGAGAAGCATTAATCACGCGGTGTCAGGATTTCTGCCTGGATCCCGTGCCTTCTGGACCGTGAGCTCCTTGAGGAGCTCGTCTCAACCCTCTGTCCCGTGTTCTGAGTGTAGAGCCGGCATACAGAAGGTGCTTAATAGGTGCTCTGTGGTCTGTATGGCGGAGGAGGCGCTGGCACATCCTCAGTGAAGTGTACTTGGCATGGATCCAGCCTATGGAACCTGCTCCATAAATGCCCTGTGAACTTCACTGGCATAGGTCCAGCCCCCAGAAGGCATTCAATAAATGCTCTGTGATCCGCACTGGTGTGGTACCGGCATATAGAAAGTGCTCGGTAAAGTCTCGGTGAGCTGTGCTAGCATGACAGCTGCATACAGAAGCTCGGTGTGTGAGTCTGAGACGAACGGGGGAATTGCCCGTTTTCCTGATCCTGAGCCCGTGTGGGCCAAGGAGGTGACCCCTGCCAGGCTGGTCCAGCTTGCCAGCCAGGTGCTTGCAGACCTCACCCCCCGGCTCTCGGACGCCCCTTCCCCGCCCTGCCAGGCCTGCCTTCCCAGCCTGATTTGGATCCCCCTGTGCGGAGTCCTGCCTGCCGGACCCAGGCTGAGTGCCGGACCCCCTGGGGGTGTCGCTCCCTACCCTCATCGCGGTAGCTTTCCCTCCGTGAAATGGGCTCCTTTTGTGCTTTCGGAGCTCCACTGCGGGACAAAGGAGAGACTGGAGGGGCCGAGGA